TGGTTTCCTAGTCTTCATCTGGCAGGATTAGTCATTGTTTGACCCATGTTTGTGACAGCCTGGTGCTGATTAGCCAATATGTATTGACTTTGTCTTAATGAAAAACTAAAATGATCTATTTTTTTCTTTCTTTGCAGCTTTCTTCATCTTCAATAAATAATCACCCTTGTTTTTTTAGTATACGTGCTGCCGAAGTGAGCACTCACCCTTGTTTATTTTTTGTAAACCAATATCTTATCTTACACAGTCTTTACATTAACTATGTAAGTTAGTGAGGTCTATGGATGTCTTATAAAACTAGTTCAGTGTTGTGTGGCAAAGCTAGGTTGCTGTGTATTGAGGAATGTGCTGTAGTATTTTAGCAAGTTTGGCTGGGCTTCTGGTGACAGGTAAGGGAAGTGGTGTGCAATAAATGTTAACCACAGTTAAAGGAGAGAGAATGATCAAGTTGAGGTGGAAAATTGAGTATACAAGAGAGATACTATTTACAGTGTAAAAATTCTTTACTCCCTGCAAACAAATAATGACCATAGAGACCAAAGTTCCCTTTGTATTTTCTATATCCCCAGAAAAATGTTCAGTTCCTCTTGCCTTCTCTCTGTAAGTTTCTCTTTTCATTCTGTTACCATAGCTTCACCCACTGGCTTGTTAGCCTGGCCCCTCTCCTAAATTCCAGTCATGAATTTTTTAACTGCCTGGTAGAATTCTTTAATCATCTCATGACTCCTCAAATTCAGCATGTCCAATTTCAGGCTGACATAATTATTTAGTAGTTCTCTATTTCTTTCGTTAAGAGATCCTTTTAGTTACTGAGGGTCTTCCTATCTGGGTCTTCCATTATCTCTTCTCTTTTCCTCCCTTCCCCATTCTATTCTCACCTCACTCACCCTCAATCCCTGCTTGGTACATTGAGAATCACAGTATTCCTTTTTTTGAAGGGTTATTTCACCAAATAAATCCTAATTAATTTATCCCACCTCATTTAATATGGTGTTATGCATAAAATCATTTATTTTTTTTTGGCATTTTATTCATTATGTGAAAAACAGTAAAAAAACAAGCCTATCATTTCTATAAAAATGGGAGATTGAAGATTTTATTTATGTACCTTTGTATCAGCATAATTTATAGTTCATAATTGTGTGAAATTTTCCCGATTGTAAGTTTTAATGTGCAGACCAAATGTCCTACCCAACAATTTACTTATTTCTCTGAAACTGATGTATTTAAAGAAACAAAATACAGGTACCCCTACTTTTTGAAAGTTTGTTTTATGCCACTTTGTTAAGACCTGCAGCCAGGCTGGTGTGGCTCAGCAGGTGAACGTCCACCCATGTGCCAAGAGGTGGTTGGTTCAGTTCCCAGTCAGGGCATGTGCACTGGTTGCAGGCTCAATCTCCAGTAGGGGACATGCAGGAGGTAGTCAATAGATGTTTCTCTATCCCTCTCCCTCCTTTCTCTAAAATAAATAAATAAAAAAGACGTGGATTAGTATCTATTTTTGCTAACTGAAAAACAACAACAACAACAAAAAACAAAACAAGAAGGATTTTTGCTTTTATGGAAAAAAGGCAAAAAGCAAAAATAGCATTCCGTATTTGTTTTGCAGTGAGCCATTGTGGAGGCAGGGCACAGTGAGAGTGGCATCACCAACCTGCTTCTCTGGGAACTGCACTCAGCAGCTTGGTATCAAGCTATCATAAGCTTTGAACTAATTGTCTGTGGGCTTCTATGTTTTATCTCAGTTTATTTTGTGCATTTGTTAGCAAGATGCATTTTAAAGTAATTACTTCTTTGCTTTATGTCATTTCAGCTTATGAAAGGCTTCATGGTCACGCTCTACTTCTAGATAGTGGGAGAAACCTGTATGTGTGTTCTACTTTGGTTTCCTATTACTTCAGGAAATTAATACAGTTGTAAACCCAATTTCATTACATTTAAATATATTGATTGAACTATAAATAATAGCATATTTGTGTTTTAATTTTTGTGTTGTATATTTGAGATTACTAACACTTTCTGAAATATAACTATCAGAACATGATGAGGATTCCACATTTTTAAAAAAATATATTGATTTTTTTTTTTTTACAGAGAGGAAGGGAGAGGAATAGAGAGTTAGAAACATTGATGAGAGAGAAACATCGATTCAGCTGCCTCCTGCACACCCCCTACTGAGGATGTGCTTGCAACCAAGGTACATGCCCTTGACCAGAATCAAACCTGGGACCTTTCAGTCCGCAGGCTGACGCTCTATCCACTGAGCCAAACCGGTTAGGGCAAGGATTCCACATTTTATGTGGACCCCATCTGTTAAAATACTATTTCATATATTATAGAAAATCTTACTCTGTTTTTTAATATAGTTGATCGCAATATAGTGGAAATTAGCATAATTACTACTAAACCTTCAACTTTGAAGTGGAATTCTGATAGACACCCACACAAAAATTTTAAGTTGCCTGCATCCCTTCCTATGCATTGTAAGATACCCACATCAATATGTGGCCTTGGAGAAAGTAGCCTACTACATACACACATCTTTAACTTTCTTTTAACAGAGATGGAAAAAGAGATGTCTTTTTGTGTATACTATGCACAGTTACTTTTTCTGGTGATACTTGGAGGTTATGTAATACTTTAAAGTCATAAATTAACTGAACAGTATCAGAATGAAAACTGAGCAACTGCTGTCTACTGTAGTTATTTGAATTTACACAAACATTTTTTGTTCTGGCTTTTATTTGAATAATTGAACAGTTAAGTCATCAGTCCTTATGAAGGATCTTTTTTTAAAAAAAATCTGGGATCATCATTGATACTTGACCATCTAGAAGACATCTAACAGTAGAAGTAACCAAAAGTGGGTTGCTCTTGTAAAGAGCAACTTTCTTTTCTATTTATACATATTTCTAACAAGTTTAATGGTTATTGGTTTCCATGTGTACATGAGTCTAAGCAAGGGAAAGAAGTAACAGTAGACAGACACATTGACTGAAATGAGGAGTGACAGTCTGCAGTCTGATACAAGAGATGAGAAAAATTATCAGAAGTAGTCATTTCAAAAAGTTTTCATGACCCCAAAATTCCGTTCCTAGGTAAATGAAAACCAATGTCCACAAAGAAAAATTGTAGACAAATGTTCACAGCAGCATTATTCCTAATAGCCAAAATGTGGAATTAGCCCAAATGATCATCGATTAATGGATGGAAAAACAAAAGTTTTGAAAAAAGTTTAGTAGATTGGGATAATTAAAATTTTTTTTATGTGAGTGGTTAGTTCTATATAGAATAGTACATAATAATTGATACAATAGTTTTGAAACTGTTGAAAGGTAAATTATAATTTTTCTTAGGATTTATCTTAGATTTTTGAATTATCAGAAGTGGTTAACATTAAAATTCATTTAAGTTCTTAGTGATCTTTCAATGATTTATTTTCTCTGTATTTCACATAGTCAAAGTTATAGCTGTCTGTTAATGCAAACATGGGGATTAGTTGAAAATTTGATTATTTTTCTCTTACCATTAAAAAGCTTAGGTAAAGTAATTTTCAAAAGATACACTTAAAGACATTGTTGGATCTAACTTAATTATAATGTTTCTTTTTTACATAAAAATCTAAATATTAGCAGTAGTTAAAATATATAAATTGGAATCTAAGAGCTACTCTAGGTTGACAGTACTTTGAAAAAAGATATAGCAATATGCATTGAACAGAATTAAATGAGTCTACTTGGCTAACACATTGGTCAAGGAGAATAGGGAAGTTTGATTATGACAGGTTTTGCTCTGAGGTAACACAGAACTTGCAACAGCTCGTTCCTATGAAAATGTATTTGTTGAGGATATCAACCACTGAAAATGGTTTTTTAAAAAGTGCTATAGAAAATCTAGATCAGGATTAAATAATAATTAATTTAGTTGGCTCTTCTGTATTTAAAGAATGATGCTTGAAATATAGCATCATTTGTTCCCTGCTGGTAAGAATATGGGTAGAGGAAGAACTATGGGGATAGTATTAGGGACATGCCTCTAGATCTAGAACATTTTCTATCTCTTAACTTCTCCTTTTACCCTTTTATGACCTGTTTAAAGCACTGTTACTGGTTTGGAAATTTGTCATGACTTGGGTGTATTGAGACTGAACAAAAGTTGAGAACAAAGGACAGAGGGACAGAGAAAATAGAGGACAAAAAACTAAAAATGATAGAATCAGACATGAAGTAAAAATTTAAGAAGGGAACACTGTTTATGGAAATGCATGTATAACTAGCTCATGTATGAATGAGACAGATTACAAAGGAAAAAGTGAAGAGCACTGAGTGACTGAATGCAGATAAGGAGTAACAGGAATTGTGAGTGAATGTTGGGATCCTTGGTAATCCTGCTGTCATGGATTATAAAGAGAAAATTGTTCATTATTGGTGAAGAGGAGTTTTAAATTTTTTTATTATTATTGATTTTAGAGATAGGGAGAGAGAAACATCCATTGGGGATAGAGCCTACAACCTGGGTATGTGCCCTGACCCGGAATTGAACCCACCACCTTTTAGTGTACAGGACAACACTTCAACTGAGCCACGCCGGCCAGGAAAAAATTGTTAACGTTGAAATTTCAGATATGGTAAAGATGTCAATTAGGCAATGTGAATTTGTGGCTGGAGAGACAAGGTCTGAATTGACTGACCTAGCTAGCCTATACTGAGCAAACAGTATTCACTGTGTTGTTCCAGACATTGCCAGAGTGTAACTAAAATTGGAAATGATTAAAATGGGTTTATTGTCATAAGGTTTAAATTTTTCAAAACTTAATAATTAAAGTTTCTTTCACTTTATTGCTTTACATTTTCCTTAGGTAAGATATTCAGAAAACCTTGGTCCTTGGGAATCTGTACTGTCCTTCTAAACATGGTTAAGTGTATTTAGTGATGTTTGTTTTTATCAGGTGATTTTAAATAATTCTTAAGCATAATTCACATTTTTCCTTTTATAACCAGGAACCTTTTGAGGATGGCTTTGCAAATGGAGAAGAAAGTACTCCAACCAGAGATGCTGTGGTTACATATGCTGCGGAAAGTAAAGGAGTTGTGAAGTTTGGCTGGATCAAGGGTGTATTAGTATGTACATATAGACTTAATTTTAGATTTACAGCATTTCTATTATTTACAAAATCTTCCTATTATTCTCATCAATCGTTGAGAACTTTTTTTAAATTTTTTAATTTGAGTACTATAGAAGACCAAATAAATAACTTGTACTTCCTTTCCTTGTGCATATTAAATTCAGTAAACATATTTTTAATTTAATCATATTATACTTGATTACCTCGAAACTGTATTTTATTGCCTCTTGCAAATTTCACATATTGTCACCTTTCAGTACAGGTGACAGGAGCATCGGAATCAAGCAAGCTGAGCAGGCAGTAGAGTTGAAATATGCCTGTTTCCTTTTCTGCTACTCCCATTATCTTTTGATGAGAAATGTATAGAAGTTACAGGGAATATAATAAAAGGAAAATCCTTTTCTTAATTGTTGGGGTCACTTCAGTAGACAGTTATAGGCGACTAAGGTTTAGACTTACTTCTGTTTTTCTGTGTTTGAATAGCCACTAAGGATCTGATTAGAGTAGATAAGCTAAAATAAGCTCATTGGAACTTTGAAGGCACTTAATTGGAGTTGTATTGACATTTAGGGGAGGGATAGAGGGAAATCCCAGTTCTGGTAGTAATTTTATTGCCTAGCTAATAGAGTAAATGTGAAGGTCCAAATAGTTTAGTTTGCCTATTCTTAGATTTTAGTATTTTAGAAGACTATGCTCTATGAATGAGCATAATAAACAAAGTAAAAGGAAATTGGGGAAACTGTCTTTTAAATAGGATTTTTGAAAGATATGTGAACAATTGGCATTTTGTGTTGATAAATATATAAAACTTAAATCTGTAGAAATCATGAAATGAGGATATTATAAAACAAAAATTAAACTTACGTAGATTGATAAAGGGGAACATGAACTTTTTTTAAGGATAAGTCTACCTACTTGGGTTGCTTTTGCTGCTTCAGATAATTGTGATGGGTATGTATATATATAGGTTAATACACATAGTCACATATTATACTTACACTAGAGGCCCGGTGCACAAAAATTTGTGCACTCGGGGGGGGAGGGGGGTCCCTCAGCCCGGCCTGTGCCCTCTAGCAGTCTGGGACCCCTCGCGAAATGTCTACCTGCTGGCTTAGGCCAGCTCCCCGGGGGGGATCGGGCCTAAGATGGCGATCAGACATACCTCTGGCAGGCCGGGAGCACTCAGGGG